TAGGTACTTTCCATCATCACATCGACATGACATCTTATGACATCCGCGGGCCGGTTCGACCGGAGTGATACCACGGCCTCACAGAAAACTGACGTGAAGCAACGCTTGCGTTGTGTTTCGTTGTGTGAGTGAAGTTACCCTCCCTAGCTCCCTAATTCCTGAATTCCCAATAATCCTAACCCCCTTTAACGCTGGTACCGCACTTGTAACGCGTCGCGTGTTTCAGGTGTCCATGGGCGACGCCAATTGCTTACCATCAGGTAATTCGTCTGCTCGTTTCCTGGCTTACCCGATAAAAAATAGAAGATAGAAATCAATAGATGACGTCACAACTTTTACATCGAGCAAGTAAAGTTTGCGTATAGATTAACATGGATAAGAAATCCCAACGATACAAGTGTTGGGCAGTAGCTCACCAGGCACCATCTCGCCTAGTCAGAGAATCCTGTCTATTCCATAGTACGTAGTATCACAGAAAAGAGAATATTGTCTATAGGTACCGCTATATCATTTTTCTGTGGCACCTACTAATAATAGTGAATGCTTTTACCAACGCTCATAAAGTGCTAACAAGAGTAATTGTAATATAAGTAATGATAAGTAATTAAGACATTAATGTCGAATAAAATTAACGTGTATCACAATTTATGTCTAGTAATCCTGTTGAGTGAATTGTTATAACATTAATAGTGTTGTCGTGGGTTTTTACTAATTGTCGTTGGAATTATCCTATAGGGACTTTTGTTATTGTTTATTTTGTGAAATGATAATTGTATTATGGAAAATTAGGTGCTGTATCGAAAAATGTGCAGCTTAAACTTTTATAATGAAAAGGTATTATGCTGTCACTATATTATAATCAACAACCTAGGATTCCACTCTAGAGAAAAGCCTCATCTCACATGGAGCAAGTTTGAGCATTAATCACCACGCTTGGTCATTGCGGGTTCAAACTTGTAATTAAAAATTATAAGCCCAGGTTTCCTTACGATGTTTTTATCGTAACCGTTTATCAGTGGCGTCTAAATAATCTTAGAAAGTACATATAACTCGGAAAAAGTCACATTTGTACTTGCCGTTCGTAGGTTTCGAACTCGCATTATGCATAATTTTATAAAGATTCCACCAATGATATTGGCTGCTAGTTCCATGGAGGTATAAAAAAAAACAAAAACAAAATCATCATGTAATCAATCCTACGTCACCTAAACTGAATCGCAATTAGGACATCTCCAACAATCGTACTTTCAACCTTACAACCATCAACATAGTCTTTAATTTTGTATAAAACAATTTATTTATTTATTTATACATTTGGAAAACCAACAGCTATATAATTTGATTAAATAGAATGTGGTATGCAATAAGAAGCCAATTACTGGTTTCCACGATTAGTAACAGAAAGTAGAAACATGCTATCACAGTACTAAAATTACTTATTAAACTCATTAAACCACAGGCAGTCTATAATGATGCACAAATTACTCCAAATATTAAATATTAAGGACCATATAGGTACCCGCTATATAATAAAAAATATTACCATATACAAATAACTGGCCTCTAGAGTTCCTGCAGACGTATTCCATAATTAATTGGAGCTAACAGTTATCTCCAATTAAGATACGCATAGCTTGCGACCACTTGCTCTGGCCCGTTATGATACACACTGCAGTATAATCGAGCTTGCTTGTTGGGGAAATTATTTATTAAGAGTCATTTATATATTATTCTTTAGTACCCTATGTTTGCATTGGTCCCTGTAATCATCATCAACAGCCTATAAATGCCCACTGCTGACCAAAGCCTTTTCTCACACGGAGAAGGTTTGAGCATGAAAGGTTGTAAACAGACTTCAAAATAAAATATATCTAAATTTAACCTGTATGTATGTTCTCACGAGTGGCTCAACCGACTTCAATGTGACATTTAGAAGTGTTTGTTATACTTAAGAGAAGGTTTTAGTATATTAACTAGCTTTTACCCGCGGCTTCGCTCGCGTCACAAAAAGATAAGAAGTGGCCTATGTGACATATACTTTTACACACAGCGCCATCTATACTAATACTTTTGTTTTCCCTCGGGAATATCAATTTTTCCGGGATAAAAAGTACCCTATTAGTATATTAGTACCTTATTATTAGTATTTAATCCGGACTTCTAACTTTACTTCTGCAAAAATTCAAAGCAATCGGTTAAGTAGTTACGGCGTGAAAGCGGAACAAACAAACTCAATTTCCGATTTATAATATTAGTAAGGATTAACCGAATCCTAAAAAAAAGAGGGCCGTGTTTTTTAGTTTATGGAAGATTTTATAATGAAGCATTTTATTAGCAATTTTAATCTAAAAGATAAGTTAACCCATTGAAAATTGTAAAAAATCATCCCCTAAATTTGTTCATACAAAAGTAGTCTCTAAACATTGTAAATAAGGTCTATAATGTAGTTAGTAGAGAGAGCGGTCACCGGTGACCCCTTGGGGATATACAGGGTTAAAGAAATACCATCCTTTATATTCAGTAGACCCTGATAGCTTTAAATGACATGCGCCAAATATTTTGTATTCCAATAATACGATTCAGTATTCAAAATTAAATTTAACATTAAGTTATACTGAAGCTATTTTCTTTAACTCAAAAGGCGTCAGAAGCGTTTTACAGTATCAGCTATGCATTTTAACGAGCGGTATGTCTCAGTATAATGCACAATATCAATTCAAAGAAAATTCATTAGCAGAGTTGCGTGCACGCACTGAGCTGTATCAGAAAACCGCTTTCAGTCAAATACCAATAATCTTGAAGTAATGTAGTAATTAGCCAATAGCTTTCCACTGTACATCATTCATGATTATTGTCTTTTACTGTCGTTTATATTGTCAATGCGTCAGTCAGTCAGTTAGACTGACTGACGGACTATTAAATTTTGTCTAATTAAGGATTAATGTTTAAATAAATGCTATGACTGATTTATGAATTCCGAGCAACCGGCTACGGCGCAACGTGTAGCGGGTTCGATTCCCGCACGGAACAGGTTTTTGAGTGATCCACTGATGGGTCTGGGTGTCATGTGTATGTGAACTTGTATGTTTGTATACGCACCCACGACACAGGAGAAAATACTAGTGTGGGTCACGTTCTTTTAAAATAAAAATATTTTTAACGTCTGAACAGTCATTTACATATGCTGCTATATTATTCTGCATGAGTACCTATATCACGCAGAATAATATAGCAGCATAAATCTATTAAAGTTAATTTAAAAATATTTATTTAAGTTTTCATTAATATTATCATACTACCTAAAGCGTATAGGCTTAATAACGGACTGATGGACGACCATCTATATTTTGAGTAATGAATGCTTCAACTTTAACTTTATACTCTATCGAATTATATAATTAAACCTTATTCTAGATTTATTCTATCTACCCGTGAAAATCGCACAGAGATGCGTGCAGTAGTTTTTGAATGTGATTTAAATGTGACGGAAAACATTCATTATTCGATAGTATTAACGAAGCATTAAATACTTTACTGAATTAAATTTGGTTTTATCGAACCACGACATGGATGCGAATATAACTGACGATAACGACACTAAACTAAGGCGGGATGCCTTAGTCTAGTAACATAACATCACGCCTTTTATCCCCGAAGGGGTAAGCAGAAGTGCACATTATACCACTGTATAATTTAACACCCACTTTTCACTATTTATGTTATGAGTCTCATGTAATAGGGGGTGAGCCTATTGCCATATACCGGGCACAATTCCAGACTCCGTGCTACTACTGAGAATATTTAAAAACCCAGTAATAATTTGCCCGACCCGGGAATCGAACCCGACACCCCTTGCCCGGCAGTCGCATACGACAGCCTTAGTCTAGTGTTTTGTGAAATAACAGATAAAACTCGTACCTACATCAAAATCAAATAAGTGCCCCAGACATATTTATCATACTAAGCTCCCATCCAGTTGCTAAGCTCAACAGAATGGATTCTAGCAAACAAAAAATAAATCGAAAATTCTGAACACGTTTTTAATATTAAAACATACAAATTATTCATATATCTGTCTGTGGAAGTGATTAAACAGACAGCATATCAAACTATACTACTCAGTATAACTTGACATACCATTGACAGAAAATTCTTTATAATCGAAGCTCAAGTTAGACTGGATGTGTAATCTTATATGCTGTCGTTTTGTTCCAATAAAAGAACAAAAGATATTAAACATAGTACATCCCGATAATATTCGAACAATTGAATATAATCCTCGCTCATAATATGAAAAAAGCCTTTTCAGATGTCGGAAAAGTATTACGCTCGAAAGATGAAAATATGAGATAAAATTGAATGGATAGATTCTTTTTGTTACGAAGAGAATGTCTACATTTTTGATGTGATATTGCAATCGATAATGAGTCTTATGGGATGGGTGGTATGTTATTATTATTTTTTTACTTTTCAGTCTGTTGGTTTATAATAGGCTATTATAACTCAAATGGTATTAATGTATACGTAGTTGTGATGAATACAGAAATATATATTTAATTAAGTGAACACAAAATGGTCGTAAATACATCTTCGTTACACAAACCGAAGAAGAATTTAATTTTAATTAACTACATTTCAATTAATTGGTACGGTGGCTACTCATTAAAGAAATTTACGAAAATTTTGTATAATTTCACAAAATCCAATTACACTAAAGCGTAGTCAGTGATTAATTTTATTAAAATTTATTGAGACGCTCATTTGTTTAATTAGATTTCAAGTTTATATCGTTTTGTGAATTCATTTCCAATAATAATATATTAAGATTCATAATAAAACTGTCATATTAATATTTTTATAGTTGAAACATTAGTAAATAGATAAACATGTAAAAATAAATATATAAAAACTAAAACACAACCAAGAATTTGTTCCATGGAAAACTGTGGGCACAAATACATTTTCACAAAAATAAAAATCGATAAAAAAATTATTCTCACCTCCTTATCGATTTCACTCGCTCTAACAATACCGAAAATCAGAACCGCTAATAAGTATGCGCTCTTCATTTTATCGATATTTTTGTTTAACGTCTTTTCACTTCACTGACACAAACTATCGTTGATTTGATTGGCTCACGTGTGTAAACCAAATGCTTGAATCTGCTATAGTATAGTGTTATATATGAAGACGCTTCGCTGATTCCCTGCAGTGGGGCTTGCATGTTAGGAAATCATGCATGTCGATTTGTTTGTTTGTTTGTGGATTGTGACAAATGCTTGTGACTGTTGACTAGTTTGTGCCAGCAACTTCGTCTGTGTTACCCGCGAAATAAGTATTTTATAATTTAGGACTGTTGTCTACTGTCATCATAAGTTTCATGTAGATTACCTACCTCAGTAGTTTTTGCGTGAAAAATAATAGGACCACACAAAAATCGTGAAAATAATCCTTTGCACATACTTCCTTCACGGGCGAAGCAACTCAAAGTTTACTATTTTATCTTTAGTATTTAGTGTTTGCACGGGCCTGCGGACGGCGAGCATGGGTGACTCGCCACCCGACCAGAACCAGACCCGAGCGCGTCGCGTTCCATGAGCGCCTCAAAGAGCCATCAGACCACCGCAGATGGGGCCCAAAAGGGCTGATGTTGATACTGAGCCGTGGAGGTCTTAACGGGTTGCCGGGGCTTCGGCTTGAAGTAGGTATAGGAATAGTGTGGTTTTTAGTCAGTAAGAGTCTGAAACTCCCTCTCGCCTCAGCCGTGCGAGAGAATTCATTGAATGATTTTCCCCCACACAAAAAAAGTATTTAGTGTTTAAAAATGAAATATCAATAAAATACCTACAAGCTCTTTAAATCTTAATGCTGACATAAAAGGAAATACATTACCGAACAATGATGTAAATATAAAAGAGCCTCAAGCGATTATGTCAACCATACGACGTACTAAGAAACCGCTACACCGCTCACGACTAGTGAACATGTTTATAAAGAAAACGACGTAGGATTCAGGAACATACTGATATCCTTAATTCCCTTTCATCTCCCCTAAGGGAGACAGACGTGATAATAACTTATTTATTAGAAATGCAATCAAGGAAAACGTTGAGGATAGAACAAAAATTAACTTACTATAATTATAGACCAGTTGTGTTTACTAAGTAACTAATTTCTACACCCTCTTACTTTTGTTTTATTTGTCACCATTAAGTTAACTTATATAAGAGTAAACCAGCTAATAATCTGTTAAAAACCACTATCTTATTTTTAATTTCATACTTTTTATGTTCCAATTTAAAAAAAAAACAGCTACTTCTGTACTACAGTCAAACTAGACGACCAAAACCGGGACTACTTTCATACTAATTAAAACATAACCCTTTCATGGTCGTGGGCGTGGTTCCTTAAAATTTACTTCCTCCGTCTTGTACCCCTATACATTAAATCTAATAGCAAACATCCGTGGCGTACGAACGAGCCTTTGTTGTCATACCTATCACTGGGTTTTATAATGTCACTGTCATTATAAATATACCCGTAAGATACTAATGCTTTAGCAAATTTTCACCTTCGAATAAAGTCTTGGGAAGACAATGTTTAATAATAGATATGAGGTTTTTGTCAGGCTTAATGCAATACTAGCTTCTGCCAGTGGCTTTGCCCACGTTCCCGGATAAAAAGTAGTAAATGTATTCCAGACTATAATCTACCCCTTTTCCAAATTTCATCTCGATCTCTTTAGCCGTTTTTGCGTGAAAGAATAACGAACACACAGACACATAGGTACATACATTCTCATTCACTTTCGCATTTATAATATTTTATTTTATTTATTATAATTACACTTTTGAAAGTGTGGGAGAGCCATGCTTCAGCACGCATGGGCCGGCTCGACTGGAGTGATACCACGGCCTCACAGAAAACCGACGTGAAACAACGCTTGTTGTATTTCGTCGTATGAGTGAGGTTACCGGAGGCCCAATTACGCCCCCCCCCTCCCCAATCTCCCCAATTCCAGAATCCTCCACAATCCTCAAATTCCCAATTCCCAAAAGGCCGGTAACGCACGTGAAACGCCTCGGTGTTACAGGTATCCATGGGCGGCGACGATTGCTTACCATAAGGTGATCCGTCTGCTTGTTTACCGGCTTATACCAAAAAAAAAACGCTTTTGAGAGAATGGGTATAAAATGGCCGACTGCGACACACGTAGCGGCGACTATCTAACATGGCTTGAAACTAGTCGAGTTCCTCTTCAAACAATACGTCAGTAAGCCGAAAACATAATAATTAATTTAGCATCTATCACGAAAGTTATGATAGAAGACTGTGAAGTTGAAATCAAAGACAAAATGTTCTGATCGGCACCAAAGCTTACTAACCCCTCGTCGAAATTGTGTTTTAAGATATAAATGTATAACTAAGAGCCAGACCAATTTACTTGCAATAGTTACCCGAATATTAGGAACTCAATTTGACAGCGTTTACAAGACTGATCCATTAGAAGCTCTTCAAGCAGTTTGAGGGTAATTGCTTTTAGATGGACGCCGGGAAATAGCTGTTTGAAAACTAATCTATATTAATGGACCTCATTTTGATAGTATTTGCATAAATGACATTGTTATTGTTAAATGTCTTTTTAACCGATTTCAACAAAACGAGGTTCTCAGTTTACCTGTATTTTTTTATGGAATAGGAAGCAAACGAGCTGACGGATCACCTGATGGTAAGCGAGCAGCGCCGCCCATGGACACCCAACACCAAGAAGTCACATGTGCGTTGCCGGCTTTTTAAAAAGAAATACGCTATTTTCTTGACGGTATGTATGTAAAATCTTCCCTTAAGTATAACAAACACTTGCCGCGGAAGGCCTAACGGGTTACCGGGGCTCCGGTTCGAAGAGCAGGAATAGGAACAGGGTGGTTTTAGTCAGTAAAAATCTGACACTTCCTCTCACCTAACCCAAGGCGGGAGAAGACATTGGATGATTTTCCCCCCTCAAAAAAAAAAAGTATAACAACACTTGCCTGAAAAACACATCAAAATCGGGGTCAGTCAACCGCGAGGTAACCGTGCACAAACATACATACAGGTCAAACTAAGAATCTGTTTATGAAGTCGGTTAATGAAGACAAAGCCAGCGGGCAAGCTAGACGCATGCGTAGCTAATGATATTAAATTATGTATAGCAACTACTGGCGCGACAGAATGTATCAGCTGTTTCACATTCAACGCCATTTTGTAAAAGTCAGCTGAGTTATACGAGGAGCATTAATACTGGTATTCAAGTCTTTATTGATCCTAATAAATCGGAAATTGGTAAGTTAAACAATGATTCATTTTTCGTGTTTAAAATCACGCCTTTTATCCCCGAAGGGGGTGGCAGAGGTGCACATTACGCCACTGTACAATGTAACACCCAATTTTCACTATTTATGTTATGAGTCCCATGTAATAGGGGGTGAGCCTATTGCCATATACCGGGCACAATTCCAGACATTATTATCTTTTTATGCATTCTCTTTTTTTATCTGAGATGTAGGTCCTTAGACAACTAGTACTTATTTCAACTGGTGTTGTGGCCGTCGCGGTTCTTGTTGCAATCAAGGTATTATCTCATGTGACAATGTCTAGCGTTTATCTACAAACAACATACACCACAGTTGTCATTGCTGGCTTACGTTTGTAATCCAATAGATAAACATGACAGGAGAGATCAGATGCAGGATCTACTGTATAATATACGTACCATAACATAGCATAATATCACGCCTTTTTATCCCTGAAGGGGTTGGCAGAGGTATACATTACGGCACTTGATGCCACTGTACAATGTAACACCCACTTTTCACTATTTATGTTATGAGTCCCATGTAATACCAGACCTCGTGCTACTACTAAGTTTTTTTTTATTTCCAGTCATACTTTGCCCGACCCGTGAATCGAACCCGAGATCCCTTGCCCAGTAGTCGCACTTGTAACCACTCGGACAACGAGGTAGTCATACATACATATCATCAATAATCATTATCATTAGCGTCGTTATTTGCCAAAAATTCGTATCTTAAAAATTTCGATTTCCCAAAAAGTTCATTCAATGGTTCATCATAAGTGGCTACTGCTGACCAAAGGCCTCTTCTCACACAGAGAAGGTTTGAGAATTAATCACCATGCTTGCTTAATGCGAATTGGCGATTTCAATTAAAACTCACATTGGTACTTGCTGTTAGTAGGTTTCGCAGCCGCGCTCTTAAAAAATGCATGAGAAGCGGGCATCTTAAACCTCCTGGCCACCATGACATTGAATAGTTACTTACAAGAAATCAGAAAAGAATCAACATAAATAAATTCTATTTTCATATTTTAAGCTAGTCAAACAGTTTCATTGTATCATCTTCTAAAAGTATTATATCAGCATTGCCTAAACTACATTGTTAAAAAAAAGATTGATGCTACATCACCATACAAAGGAAAAGAACCACGATATTTTCTTGCCGTAAAGAATATCCTTCAAAAGTATAAAGTCGAAAAGCAAGCGTATACGAATATTGCAAATGTCTGGAAGAATGTTCCCAGTACAAACTCATGCGGAGTATAAAAACATTTATACCAACTTATATTTTCTTGCAAAATGTTTATTTGCCACAGTTTGTACTGTTGAACAAGGTACTTTTTGAAGTTTACTAGATTAGCCCTGTTCTTTTATATTAAACTGCCTGCCTCATTGGCTGAGTGGCCACAAGTGCGACTGGCGGGCTAGGAGTCTTGTGTTCGGGGCAAAGTATTACTGGGTTTGTAAAAACCTTAGTAGTAGCAACTGGAATTGTGCCCCCTATTACATGGGACTCATAACATAGATAGTTAAAAGTGGGTGTTACATTGTAAGTGGCATTATGTGCCGTAATGTGCACCTCTGCCTATGGTATATACCATAAAAGGCGTGGTTTTATGTTTGTGTCATGTTATATTTCATATTAAAACGTAGGAAGTTAAAATACAAAAAATACGCAAATGCGTTTAATCTAAGTAGGTATATTTCTAAAAGCACAATATCAACAGCGTACCTGCGACTTAAACGATATATTGCGATTATTGGAAAATGTATGTTTGTCCAAGTTTTTCCTAACTTTTACTTT